AGGGGATCCAATATCTTAGTCAAAATCACGCACATATAAATGTACAAACATATTTAATGTCAAGCAGTGGAATATGCAGTTGTATATTCTCACCTATGCCTACTCAGTTATTTCGCTAACTAGTGAAATCAGGTGATTAAAATATCACTTCACTCAGGGACTCCAGAAAACACCCTTGTCCCCCACCTCCAACCAACAGTGAGACCTTAGAACTGTCCCTGACTATAATAACTTACGAAATAAGTTTGAAATTTAAATCGGACCTATATTGTTAAAGAAAATTTTTGATATGATGTAGTAATAGTTTTTCCTCCGTCGTAAATTTGAGATCATAAATATTTACCCGTCTTAAAAGATATTTGGCATGTTCGCGCTTTTGAGATTATAAATAATTAGTCGTCTTAAGAGATATCTGGCATGTTCGCGCTTTTGAGATTATAAATAATTACCCGTCTTAAAAGATATCTGGCATGTTCAAGCTGAACAGCACCTTTTGTTACGCGCATGCTGAACAGCCAAGTCAGCCATCCAGAGGGAAGACAAATGCTGCATACACGGCTATGAGCCTGATAGAGGGATTGATTGTCACTTTTATAACTGGTCCACAACTGAAAATGCAGATCATATTTGAACCTTAAACATTCTTATCCACACCTTGGATGCCAACAACTAAACCACTCCCGACCCTCACCATAAGTTGATCTTTGTCTACTCAAGTTTATCTATTCAACTATATTTTGAAGTACAAGTAACAGCTCAATAAAATCGGTATGAAAAGAAATAAACATACCTAAAAACTAACTCAAAAACAAAGGAAAAAACTTGAATAATTAATTCTTAACCCTTTTAAAAAAAACTCACTTGAATAATTTATGTTAACACTGGTGTATTCAGGAATTTGAAAAGGGGGCGGGGCCAAGCCTTAACATTCATATTTGCATATAATTTCTATTTACTTTTACAATAGTTAAACTTTATTATTTCCTTTACATTGATTGAATGAGTGTTATAACATGTCAATAACATGCCACTTTATTGACGTCACTCAGCTACCGCGAATCGCGACTAAGTTGAAGTTGTAATTTTGGAAACCGTGAATACGATTTTGAAAGAGCTACATGTAAGTTGAAGCCAAAGAACATAAATCTGCGAAAATTTACATAGCGAAATTAGGAATTCCAGGGAAAACTGGTGAAAAATAAAAATACAAGCCAAAGGGGGGCATACCCCCCCCGCTACGCTAGTGTCTATATACCAAAATCAAACAGTAAGATACATCTTCAGTACACCGTTGTAAAAGAGAATATTAAGATTTTTATAGCGTGTATTATTGTACGTATTTTAAAAAGGGGTATGGCACCCCCACATTTCATTAGCATTAGTATTAAGTAACTGGATTTGTTCCTGAAAAGCATATAGCAACTATCATTCCCCCGTCCTCCAATTTTGGAATCAAATTTTCGTCTCTGAGTGTTCTTTTACCTAGATTTACAAGTGTTACAAAAATATGACAATATTGATCCACGTTCTACATACCCTAATGCAGGTTTTCCCCCATTGATGATGTCAGCAAGATAAAAATATTCCATCCCAAGTAACATTGACATCCCAACTGCTCCCATTTATAACAGGAAAAGGGGTGTTTGTAATGTGAACAAAGTATACAAAATAACCTAACTGAAAGTAAGTTACTCTACATCTGTAGAAGTATTGGGTGCCAACACTGCTCTGTTTATTGAATGGGGACTTTGAGTTTTATTCTCCTAATATTGTCATTTTGAGGTAGCTGAAGAAGTAAGTGTATCAAGTTTTGTCGATATATATTGTTACTTGTACTAAATTCATCATTCTCACAGATAAATATATATATAGAAACCCATGACTATCATTCTTCTCTTGTGCTTATTGAAAATGACTCTTAGCCATTCGTAGATCATCAAATTTGGGTTGGCGTAAAGAATCGGCTTGTTCTGTAGCACATAAGATATAGTTTTTCCCCTTAGGGCCTTGAACAGAAATAAAGCATATTCGTGAATAAATAGGTGTTGCGTAGCATTTTATGACAAATAATATTAATAGGTGTTGCGTAGCATTTGATGACAAAGAATATTAATAGGTGTTGCGTAGCATTTGATGACAAAGAATATTAATAGGTGTTGCGTTAGAGCAACAGAAGCGTAAACTTAATATTATTTTTATTGTTCATAATTGCCTCTGCTTGCGTTTGTGAGACATATTGTATGCATATTTATATGTATTTCAAATAAATACAGTTCAAGAAATTGTATTATGGGTAATTTTTAGTGAAACTGAGGGGGAAAAACTAACTTGTGTGTTAGCCGAGAAGTGTTAAAGATGTGGGTCAACGTTAAAGAGAGCGACATCATTGTGTTGTACCAATGTTTTTGATGGATATAGCTCAAGTAAAATAAAGCAAGTTTTTGTATTGAATGCATATTTTGAAGAATTTGATTTAAAAAACAAAAACTTCAGCATTTCTGAAATATTCCTTCTTTTATCCACAGAGAAGGACATATAATTTACTCGCATTAAATATTTGTACCAAATCATGAGATTTCTGTAAAACGTTTAGATCCAAGTATTCCTTAGGTAACGTTCGCTCTTTAATAAAAGATTTAAATTTGCTGCTGTTATCC